CCCCCCCCCCGGGAGCACGGCTTTGCCTGCGGGAACGGAAACTCGTCATTCTCGTCATGATTTTCTGGTACACGAGGATCTACTTCAATGGTCTTCACTACGGACGTCAACTGAAGAGTCATAACTTAATCCAACAGTAGCTTATTCTGCACTCGTTATTGTCGAGGAGATAATCGTCGATGTAATCGAAAAACTCTTAGAATACTTCTGGCATATATGTGTTTCTTACGTACAAAGTACAAGTCATGTTGCTAGTTAAGTAAATACTCCCACGTGTAGAAACAAAAGATGCTTAAGGCGGGGGTTAACATAAAGGCCGTATTCTTGCTGGGTATTATGGTTTGAATGCAAATATCTCGTTCACGTTTCAAGCAGTGAAAAATCTCTCTGCTCATTTCACGTAGCTACGTTTTGGGCTGTTTTGTAAATTTTTTGGTGATTTCTGGGTATATTTGGGGATAAATAGTTTTTCTCAAAGGATTAGTAAAATTTATGGAAATATGAAATTTTGAAGATTTGATGCTGTTTTAAAATTAGAATTTGAAGTTAGAAATTGGTAGACGTACACCAAACAGTTGCCCACCAACCCGGGGAGCCATTTTGGGGGCAATCAACTGTCTGGTGGTGTTCCAAACCCCTTTTTTTCCTTTTAATCCCTCTTTAAACTTCCTACAATTTCACTTAAATTCATGTTTACCCCCGCCTTAAATTATTCTTTTCAAAGTTCGTGATCCTTACTTAAAAATTCTGCCTACTACCATGATTTCTTTCATACACTAAGTGATTGACAACAGGAAGAACCTCCCCTTGAAAGGAACGTATTTGGTACAAGTACAAAGTTCAATACGAATTATGAAGAGCAGCTTGTACAAAGGTACAGGGTTCAATCTTAAATGAATATCTAACAAAAGAAATTATAGAAACGCAGCTAAAGCGAAATTCGAAAAGAACAATCTTCGATTTCAATAAAATCTGAGTGAGAGCAAGCAACTTCGAATGCATTGTAAGGTAAAATACTATCGCTGGTTTTTAGAAAAGGTTTCAAAATCTTAAAATATGATTAAACGTAGAATGACTGAAAAACGGTAAATCCTCTCCTAACATACGAAAAAAAGTGGCTGCATGGCAAGATTTGCCTTCCAGAAATCAAGTTACTTCAAACTTTCAAACAACCATTAACTTTCGCTAAGTTCTTAGGAAAAAAAATAATTACAAAAACGGTAAGCTCTAAAAATGAGTAAAAACTGAAAGGTTCAACGTCATACGAAGATAGAACAGACTTCAGCCTTCGCTGAACGTGTGAACGCAACACAACAAAATTATGCCTCACAGGCACTGTTTGGCCGCCACGAAACCCTCCTATAGAAGTACGGAATACGGACGAAGCAAATCGCAATCTGAGGAATGAGTCGTTTCACATGTGCTGTTCACATTTTCCTGCGCCACAAGTTATGTTAGTTCCGGTCCAAATCAGAGTTGAAATTAGGCTGTTTTCAATTTTGTTAACGCTTTATTTCTTCCTTTTCATGATTAACTTTTCTCATTATTCAATGTGGATGCGAGAGTTAAGACGCAAGGCTTGCAATTTCGGGCAAAAACTACAAAATTGCCTGAATAGTCTAGAAGTTGCCTCGCTTGCATACTCGAATATATTGTAATGGAGTTCTTTCGCTATAAGCGAGTGGACAGTATACATACCGGGATGTTAACAGTTTAATAAGGGAAGTCATCAATGAGTTTACTCAATGCATTTCAACACGTTGGTTCTTCAAATTTCATTCGAATGTGGGAATGAGGTCTGTCCTGACGGTAAAACAATCAAAGAATAAAACTATTTTTGGCTACTAAACAGCCGCCTGATTTGTATGATGACAACGACTGTATTAGCATTATCAATGTTGACAGTCACGAGAACTTTGTTTCACCGAGAGACTTGCACTCTTTTTGTTGTCATGGTTACTAGAGAGGCGACAAAACAACAAACTCGCTTTCCTTTGCACAAAACGTAGCGAGAGGAATGCCTAAAAAAAATTGAAAGCAAAGTTATATTAAACTTTGTTGATGTTGAAGATGTGATATTACATAACAACGGCCAGGAAGTCGGCTTGACTAATTCAGTTTGTTTTTCGGTTGAGCGTAGTCGCCGCTCCAGATTAAAATCTGCTTTTTGTTTTCTTTTTGCTATTTTCCGTTTTCGTAAATGAGGATTTGGTCTCCGAAACTGTGAGCTACATTTGCCATAGATTAAATCCGCAATAAGTTTCAGAAATAAGTACTAAGTCCCTCATGAAAGACGATTTATGGAATCAAGCTAAATAAATCATTTACATTTTACCACAACACTAATTTTTCGGGAAAGAATGTCGGAAATGAAGCTGCGGAGCAAAACGTGAAACGCTCGCCTGTCAGCTATATTATTTCAAGCCTGTCCATCTTGTATCTTATTCTGTCATCGTTGTTGTTGGCACGCAGAACCCACTTCCTGATGGCCGAATGTCATTAGTCGAGTACTGTTTTACAAAAGTCAAACTATTGTTGCTGGATTTACCATCTCCTAGTCAGCTAGATATATCTCGTCGACTCTAGAAATCACGCTAAAAATAGATCACAGTTCTGTTCAGTAATTCTGTAGAGTTAAAGATTTTTTTGGTTGATGGAGATTTTTAACAAGGTTTCTGACGCTGTTCAAAGGAATTCACGTGTAGGTCCTCAAAATAGACCTTTTCCACATGACAGTACAGTTGTTAGTGAGTCAAAAAGGTCATTCAAGGCATTATTTATTGAAACCTGCCCTGCTAAACTAGTTTGTGCCTTCCAAACTCACGTAGACGTTTGTGCAATATCCCAAGTCATTTTCGTAGTTAACATTTCACCACAACGCTAATTTTACGGGAAAGAATGTCGGATTTGTTCTCGATCTATCACGATGTTTCCCAACGCACGTTCAAAAGTGAATTCGTCGCTGAAAGCAGTGGATTTAAAACTATAATCCTATCATCTTCTACCGGATAGTCAAATCGGCTTTTACTAATCAGTCTTTTCATAGTTAAACGATTTTTTCACAGGCATTTTTGGACCCTTTTGCTTTAGAGATTGTATGACGTTTCCGAAAGGAAGCACATTTTGAATTTTTTTTTGGATTGTTGGATGGCTAGATCAGACATTACTATCAAAACAACAAATAACAAATTGACCATTTCATGCAGTTAATTGAAAAAGCTGGGGACCTGCTCATTTTGAGTTTAATGAGTTTAATTTAACTCTTGCATGAAACTAGATTAACGCGTTTGGAATATTGAACACCCACATTGAGCAAAAAGCTTACAAAAGAATAGGCTTATCATTTTTCCTTTACTCTTTAAAAGAGTTAGTCCAAAAAAGTCAAGGCGTTTTGTTAGTTTGTAACTCCTTTGATACTTTTTCGGGGTCGAGTCTTTTGTTGCGGTATTGAATTAAAAGAAACGAGTTGTGAAATACATTCCATTTTACATATTCGGGAGAACGGAGTACGAAAAAATTTTAATACAGCTTTATAAAATAGCAATTGGATTTTCGCGTTGAAAATGCCGTGTTTTTTTGTTTTTTTTTCTGTTCTTGTTGTTGTTGTTTTTTCATAGCCGGACGGAATTCTGACAGAACAAATATAGAATTCCGTTCTCACATTATTAGAATCTCCAGAATTAGATAATTGTCAACCACTAGGACATGTCAGGCGAAGTAGTTTCGAGTATATTTGTGACAAACTCCATGCTTCTAAAGGTGATTTTAGCGTTTTAAAAAACGCTAGCCCTTCAGTTTGTCGGAATAGGGATGGCATCAAAGAGTTAATCCAACGTACAAGCTCAAAACACTTTTGAATAAAGCAATTACTTTAACTTTTTAAAGAAAATTTGTTCGCTCAATGCATGCACTCTAATAGTGCCAGTGTCACGATGGAAGCATTGTTTTTGGGTTGTTGTAGAGGGTTATCGTATGAAAGTAGTATATAGACAATTCTTTAATGAAGCATTTCAGGAATTCTGCGGGTTGTTCTGGACTATACCCCGCCGTAGACAAAACACAAGTGAAGTGGGATTGAAATTCTCTGAAACGAGCGCCACAAGTTATGAAAACAGACATCTTACAAGGTCACGCTTAGCGGCTAGCATAGCTGATATTCGATACCCTGAAGATATGTGTTACATTTATGAGTTTCCTGTCAAGTAATCTTTTACCTGACATCGCCTTCTGCGGTATAGACACAATTCATCGTTTCCCGTGTGACGTATGACTGAGAGTTTTACATAAAGTCGAGAAATCACAGCACGAATTTCTCAAAAACCACATTGAGCGCGTGAAAGCAATGGCAGGGACACAAATGGTTTTACTATGCTTCGTTTTAATGGCGAGTTGGATTAACAGAACACTTATGTCTCCTGTTGCGGAACAACATACTGCAGCTTTTGATGAGATAGCCAGAGTCAACGAGCAATATGGTAAGACTTTCTTGCTCTCTTCTAGTTTAGATAAATGTCCGTTTCCTTTCGTGTTGGCCTTTCTTAAAGAGCGCGGACGTTTCTGTATAACTCGGCACCCCTCGTCAGTACTAGAAGGGTCTGCTCTCAGAATTACCTCCGTTTGCGCGGGGGTTTGCGCAAGCTGTGTTTGATTTTCCCATTATATCTGAGAGCCTTCTGAGTTTCATTTGTTACCGTTAGCACCATATGTAACGTCTAAACTGGTACTGAAATTATTTCACCCGTCAAAAATGAACTAGTTCATGGGTACGAAGCACCGGGCTCAACACAAACTTACCTTTTCGTTGAAGAGAGGCATTGAGCATTAAGCATTGAGCATTGTCCTCAAGATAAATCATAGCCTCATAATTTAACCCTTTCATTGATATTTTGGTGGGATATCTCGTAAAGAATATATTATGGCTACATATTAAAGACCTCATTTATTAAATGTTTCGCGTGAAATGTTTAAGTTGAATCTGTGATAGGATTTTCGACTATCTTACATGTACGCCAACAGTCTTAGCCATTCTGAAATTGTCTTCACTTGGCAAAGACGCATTCATGCGGACAGGTCATTAATTTCTTAAATTTCAGTATACTATACTAATACTTCTAATTAGCAAACAAAACAAACGAATAACAAGTCCAATTCGCCGCCTGCCCTGCGAAATGATGGTGGACAAGCACAATCAAGTGTTTTTTATCCTCCCGGGAGCGGCTTCAGTTGCCGGGAATACTCTTAGGGACAGAGAAAATCGCGTCTGAAATATCTTAGGACTCTGTATTGCATTGCAGAGAAGTGGAGGATATCTATGTTCAGTTCTTGTGGGGACTGAAGCCTTCAACGCTACCAAATGAATAGGCTATCATAAGTTATATCAACAATATTTCGTTCGGGTTATATTTCAGCAAATATGCTAAATATCACAACTGCACAGTATGAGCTCAGGCAAAAATCTCCACAAGGAATATTAGTAATTCGATTGTCCTATCAGCACAAAGTATCATAGTTTTGTAGTTGGTTCATTTCCTCAAGTTAATTAGAAGCCAAATTATAGTGTAGACAATGCAACAACAACAACAACAACAACAATTTATTGGTATTCCCATATAGATGGTGTTACCTAAATGCAGAATCGCTAAATAAAAAGTC